CCTGGCACGCGCGCCACCAACTATTACGACCCGAACCAACAAACTCGAGAGGGCAGGGTAGGAACGTTCACGAAGAGAGGGGCAGGGAACCAACACAAAACCCCTAACCCTCGAGGCAAAGCACCTTTCACACGAGCTTCTTTTCATGCTTGAGCCACGCAGTCATGTTCAGCATTCCTCTACACTGTCGGGTAAATGATTGTACACGGGTGGAGGTTACCCGTAACTTTACAACTGTCATTCTGCATACTTTTGTTGTTATTCATCTGACTATTGATGTTACGACTGCAGATGTTGATATTGGTGTTATTAGTCGTTGTAAGTAGTGTTATTCTTGCTTAGATAAACAGCTTTGGTCCTGGCTTTCCCTCAATGCGCCAAGGATGCTTTGTTGTCAAATCTGATGATCTTTTGCTGCAGATTGAAAGATTCCAAGGAAGAGGCCCTCAACGACCCCTCGGTCAGTCCGTAGACTGACACTGAAACATTCCCCAGCCCCCAGACAACCCCCAACTCCTCTGGGTATCCCCTGAGCTGGCTAGCTTCAGGTAGTTTTACTCACAATCCGGGCGGCTTAGCTTCTTCCGGCGTCGAAAATTGGCCTCGGCGTCGTCCTCCCAGCTTGCTTCTCGGGTTGGCTGAATGGTAGAAAATGTTGCAAGTAGGGACAAGGTCCTTATGGCTTGTCCCCAGATCCTGCCTAAACGGGCTTCCCTTCGCTCGGCCGTATCTTCAAAACTATCATCACCATCAGCATCCTCAACCTTTCGATTTGCCACGTTCCGCTTTGCCCCATGCAGCACGCCAACATCCAAACAAGTGGCCAGTGGAGCATCGCCAACTTGAAATTGGTGTTTAAATGTGGTACTCGTATCAACGTCTATCTCTATCTTCCATGAAGCCGTGGTACTACAGGTCAGGCCTCCGTCCCGAAACATCAGATTTCACATGCTCTGCAGGCAGGCTCCTTCTTGTTCTGCCACTCCAGGAAATCCTTGTGCCAGTGCGGCAGTATGGGTACTCGCTGTGGGTGCAGGAAGGCCATCGCATGCCTGAGCCAGGCCATGCTGCTAGGCCGTGCTGGCTCTGATAGACTTGCATCCGGCGGGCTGAAACTTGGAGAATTTGTGAACTTGGATCGCCTGGCATGCAATTCGCACATTCCCGAAAGGATGCCTGCTGCCACTCAGAACGACTGAAGGAAGCGTGGCGGATGTTCGCTGATGTCGTTGAGTGTCTGCCGGAGCCACAGGGGAGCCTCTGACACGTCCTGCAGCTTGATTTCGAGGATTGCATACCTGAGCTCCAACTTCGGAGAACCCAGGGAAGGCGAAAGAGTGCCTTGACGGCTGAGGTCAGGACGGACACTCTCTCTTGAAATGCTCGTGTGTTACTTGTAGATTCCATTATGCTTGTGGAGTTATTGAGAACTCGGACGAAGATGCACGTGCTTTGTCCTGGTTGCCACGCATTCTCCCGAAGCCGACATCTTGCACAGCAGCAGAAAGCTCTGCGCTCATACAAGAAACAGCAATTTTGCTGATGCTCACGCACGGACAATGCCAGGCTAAACCACGATTATGGGCTCTGAAGATGACCCAGCTGCGGGAAGCGATAGACGTCGTCACGCTGCAGGCTGTCTGATGCTATATGGCCTTACAAGGGATCTCTGTTGCTCATTAGGAGGATAAGCGGCGCAACATATCTCACTACAGCCAGCAAGGTGCACCAGGGCTTGTTCTGATGTCCTCCTGCCATGTACTCCTTGGATTCGCACCATCAGGTAGCTTTCTGAACAAAACTGGCTGGAGACTGGGTCCACCTGAAATGCAGCAGAAGCGCATTTAGAAGAGACATCTGCGTGTCGAGGGAAATGCGGACTTTGTTGTCCGTCGCAAGCCTGCGCGGACGATGCGAGCTTGCAACTCCCGCTGGATCAAACGATGCTTGATGTCTTGCAGCCCTGTCGCTGAAAGGCGCATCTGTAATACGAAGTTCGGATGATGGGCTGGAGTTTCCTTGTGCCGAAAGACAAGACACAAGCTGTGCAAGTAGTTGGCACAACGGCCTGAACAGAACATTGCCTGGCTTGTTTGGTCATGTAGACATTTAGCAGCCAAGCTTCTTGTCTTGGATCAGCTTGTTCACCTATACTGATCTATGTGAGTGGCCACAGCTTGTTTTTGCAAGATGCACTGGCATGACACCCGGCCTCAACAGCGATGCCCTTCATGTTCTTTCGGGCCTTTTCTGAATACATTCCCTGCTCCTCGAGCCTGGGTTACCGAACAGATGCAACAGGCGTAGAGGAGTACGGGTGCAGGAATTGAAAGGGGGCGATGACATTCAGCCGAACCGCTGCTTGAAGTACCCATCAATGTCAAACTTGCCTTTCATGAAATCGAAGATGTCCTGCACTCGGCGAACATGCTGATTGTTGGGCATTGTCGGGTGCAATTTCCAGCGCCGGCCTCCTGGGGAATAACGCAGCGTTCTTTTGCTGACTTCTTGCCACCCCAGCCCTCGTGGTGGATCTTTCGCTCCACGTAGATCTCTTTGTCGGGCTCCTGGCTGTTCCTTGCAGGTGACAAACTTGCAACCAGATTTCAGGAATAGCAGACAGGGGCGAGTGTCTCCAACCTCACGCTCGTCTGGATCGGGAACCCCCGAAAGCCTGACAGCTGCCATGCGAAAGCCCCGAACCTGAATGGCACAGTCCTCGTTTTCTCACACATACGCTAAGGTGGTAATTGTGAACATTCGCACCCATCCAAAGGAACTCCACAGTGAGGGTGCCACACTTATCTTTCAGGGCTAAACATGGTCATGCCGCAACCACACGGAGCCAGGCGTCAAGAACTAGTGGACTCGTTTCAAATCGACTGCGCGATAGATTATGGGATTCTGAAAGGATGTGGTTCTAAGGGGGGAGGGTACTGGGGAGCCTGAGGGAGCATTCTAAGGAGAATAGGGGATTATTGGGTTGCCCCCGCCCTTGAGGAACATACCAGTAAATAAGCGACGCCAAGCAAAAAAAGCTGATGGAGTTTCATTCTAACCTTCCCCAAAGCAACGTTCCAACGCTCCGAGATTGGGGGCAGTAGCCCGTCCCTTGCTTGTCAAGACCGTAACCTAAAACCGCTCAAAAAATGCGATGCATTGCGGTCTTGGTCTCTCTCCATACCATCGAAACCTGCGGAAGCATGGCGGCACTTGTTTTGTGAAGCCAACGCTTGTCATGCATTGGCCCCTTTACAGTGGAACAACCAGTGAGGCCGCAAGAGAGGCAGAGGCAGAAATTGCAAAACCAAAGAGACAGCCTGAGAAAGAAACAATAAGAAGTCGCTGCCTGACCAATCGAGCCCCCTCTTCACGGCGGATCCGCTCCTGGTAACTGGTTGCCTCCGGACCTTGGTCCAAGTAGGGAACAGCTGGTTTTGATGAAAGAAGGGAAAATCTCCTCTGCTCTGGGCAGTGAGCCTGTGGACTCACGCTCGGGCTGGGGCTGAGAGGAGAGACAGGGGATGCGAAGCCTTGCTTTTGGTTGGGGTGGCGGGAGTCAAGCCTGACAGGAATGCGTGCGAAACCTGACAAGTTTCAGTGACCTTTAGTGGGTCTCTTGCACGCTGAGAGAAACTGAGTCTCACTCCGAGGGGGGCTGTGTTAAAACGATACGGAGCCAACCTCCACTCCCTTCAACCCACAATGGTCAAGCAGCTGGCCCCTCCATGAGATTCCTCTCTCGTGTTCTCATGACTGCTGCAGATTTCGAGGCCCCGACTGTCGAAGTACACTGAGCTGAGAAGTTGCGACTCCTCCATTGTACCCGAGTAGGCGCTGAGAGCCTGAAAGGGTCGAAAACATTGCTCGCTGCGACGACCTTAACGAGACGAGCCTTTGAAAGGCTAGATGGTACGACGGCTTACACCCTCTCCTTCTGGTCATCAAGGCCGTCATACTCCAGATCCAAGAGCGCGAAAGGCTCCAGCAGCTTTTCTTGCTCCTTATCGACGCCCCATTCGGAAAATTCGTGAAATAGACCCGGTCGAAAGAATATAAGTAAACCAACCTATGCAACACGTGCTTGGTCTCATAATTCTCTCCTTCTGCTTCCAGCAGGCTCAAGGCAGGCATACTCCGCATACCCCCCCCCCCCTCGCAGTCTAGGGCATCAGGGCCGCTCTCGCCTCTCTTTCCCTCGCTCTTTGCAGTTGCAAGGGTTCGGAGGCTGGAGGCTTGTCGGCCCCTGAGCGTATGTACAGTTTGAACGAGGTTGTGGTGGCATGTCCGGTAGCATTCTGGCAACTGGCTGTCTGATTCACGTAGCGGCAACTCTTTCACTTGTAGTTTGCACCATGCCATGCAACCAAGCTGTTGCAGCTCCATTGCTTGCATCATGGACTTGTGAAATTCACTTGTAACATTCATGCCCGCCTTATAAAATGCTATCTGGCGAGCCCACTTCCCTATAAGTACTTCTTCTTCTTGTTGGGACTGCGACATGATGTCCAAAAGCGCTGGCCAGGCCGTCATTGTAGGAGAGGCGCTGTTTGAGATGCGCCGAAGATTAGATACCTCGGAGGGTACTTGGGCAACGGAGAATGCGAAAGCGGGAGGCTGAGGGCTCAGATGATGTCTCTACCCTCTCATTCTGCTGCAACTGTCGTGCATCCAGGGGCGGCAGGTGTTCCACGATGCGGGTCTTCAGCAGGACCACATTCTCGGGTGCTACCCAGTACTTCGACGTGTTCCTCAGTATCACTGAAGGATGCTACAGGCATCGAAGGCACAGGACACTACCAGAGAGGAAAGGTGCCGGATAAAGCTCTCGGGCGGCTTCCACGTTGCATCCTCTCCAAACGCAGACTGTAATGGAACTTGTCATATTCGTCGCAACGGAGGTTTTCAAGGCCTTATGAAAAACCTAAGCATCCCAAAGAGCTCAAGCCGCTCCTTGCTTTGCTCGGTTGATTGTGCTGTGCGCCACAGCGCCCATGCCAAGCCCAGCAGAATCAAAATGTCATCGAAGCGAATGTTACCTGATCAGCGACTACAAGTAGCATGGATGGGCCTGGTGTGACACACGAAAGCGTAACTAACAATAGGTCCAACACATCAATAATCAAACGTTGCTGCGGGCAACTGCTGGTCGAGATGCAGAAAGGCTCGCAGTGAAGACCGGACACAAAGAGCGCACTGCCAGCTGTGCCCAGGAGGTCGTCGAACTTCTCAGTAAGCGTCTGGAAACCCACGTAGTTCAGCCGTACAAACCTGGGATGGCAGAGCTGGCCCCTGGCTTCTTCTGCTGTTCATGAGCAGTCTAGATTGCCGAGATGCGAATCCAAGTGGACAATTTGCTGGCCAAGCTCTCGAATGTTGGCGGCCTTGTTCTCTATTTCCTTGGCGCGTGCGAGCAACCGAGGAGTTCCTCATCTACGCGTTTGCTCAATACTATAATTAGTATCGTCACTTTTGCTGCTGCGACTACTAGTACTACTAGTACTACTAGTACTGCTAGTACTACTAGTACTACCAGTACTACTAGTACTACTAGTACTACTAGAACTACTAGTA